AACTCCGCAATGGCAAAAAACAAAAGAAAAAAAAATGGTAAAAAAAAGAATCGCGGTCAATCGAGTACCTAGGGAGTAACCTCTACCTATTGACAATTGTTTCAGCTTCGCAACTTCATTCTCTTCTCGTTCCTAGATACATTCACCACAAATGTTTTAATTTTTGTTATCTTGTACTTTATACTTCTTGATCTACGCTTCTGATTTGCCTTCGCGGCTGCCGATATGCCATTCTCCACTACTCCCCATACCAACTCTGCGCAGGCGCATCTGGCAGTTGATGACACCCAGAAGAACATCGGCAAGGATATAATCATCCAATCCAGGGAAACCGGCGATGTTGTCCCACAACCCCCACATCCCTCTACTGGGACTACCGACAAAAAGACCAGGCAAAACCTTTTGCCCACTTTGTCGCTGGTGGGTAAGCATGCACTCCTCTACAGCGAGACTCCGCCCTTCCATACAACTCTGGGTAGCATGGGTTGACATTTCTTTTCTCATAGACTCGGTGGCATGACCGCGGCGACCCTTACCTCTCCTCTTGATGTCTTGAAAACCCGCTTGCAATCCGACTTTTACCAAGCGCAGCTGCGATCGCTCCGCGCCGCTCATCCCTTGCCGCCATCTTCGTCGCTGTCATCCCTTCCTCGGAGTGCTCTGATGCACTTTAATGAAACGTTCCAAATCCTGCGCTCGATCCACGTGCATGAAGGTTGGCGTGCTCTGTTCAAGGGTCTGGGGCCCAATCTAATCGGAGTGGTGCCTGCTCGCGCCATCAACTTCTACGTATACGGGAACGGGAAACGGATCCTGAGTGATCACTTCAACTATACAAACTCCCAAGAAACACCGGTCGGAATCCATCTGACCGCCGCGGCCGTCGCCGGGATTGCCACGGGAACCGCCACCAACCCGATCTGGCTTGTGAAGACGCGTCTACAGTTAGATAAATCCAACGCTGAACACCACAGTGGCCAGGGACGGCAATATAAGAACAGCTGGGACTGTATCAAGCAGACGGTGCGCCATGAGGGCATCCGCGGCCTATATAAAGGACTTTCGGCATCGTACCTCGGTGTGACGGAGTCGACGCTGCAATGGGTGATGTACGAGCAGATGAAGATTTTCCTCGCCCGCAGGGAGTCGGCCAAACGCGCCGATCCCAACTACACATACGGTACCTGGGACGACGTGGAACTATGGGGTGGGCGGATCTGTTCGGCGGGATTGGCTAAGCTGATCGCTGCGGCTGCCACCTACCCTCATGAGGTGGTCCGGACACGATTGCGGCAAGCGCCGACTGTGTCTATTGGTGACGGCAAGGTGGTGATGAAATACACTGGTCTTGTGCAGTGCTTCAAGACCGTCTGGAAGGAGGAAGGTATGCTTGGGTTGTATGGCGGCTTGACACCGCACTTGTTGCGTGTCGTTCCGTCCGCCGCCATCATGTTCGGAATGTAAGTTGCTCTCGACGGCACAGTTGCATGACTATGACCATCCGATCTAACTATCAACAGGTACGAGGTGATCCTCCGCCTCTTCGGAACAACCTCCTAGTCCTCCTCTCGCGCAGTTTCTAACGTACCTTTACACCACTCTTCTCCGAGGCCCTGTATATTATCTCGCTTGTCTGTTATTCTTCCGGGTTTGTTTGCCTGCTTAGAAGGATTAAACTGCATGTTCACGGCGTACTGTTCTTTGGTTGACTTGGCATTATCTATCTGGGCGCCGGTGTCTTGTTCATCTGTCATTCTTTCCGCTCAGCGATCTGAACTATATTAATCCCGACCAATGTATATTAGCAACAAATAGAAACGCATCATTTCCGTTGGTATATTCTAGACCGTCGTCAACTGCATTAAGTAGGGAACAACATTTGGGCAATACTGCCAAGAAGAGTAACTATCCCGAAATATATATCTGCAGCCACACAGTAGGACATCACCACCCCCAAACCCAACATGATCAACACTACTGAAAAAAAAAGAAAAGAAAAGAAAACACCATAAGATCTAGAACACAGATCACCGCAGCAATTACATCACATTTTGATCTAATTATCACTGATCACCAAAAGAAAACAAAACCGACTACTTAGAGCTCGAGAACACACAGCACCGGTAAGACCCACTTTTTCGCCAGGTCGTCGACGTGTCTAGATCGCGAAGAGAAGGTCCAGAGCTCCTGGGGTTAGGGATTAGCATCGGATATTCGACGCGGGTGACATGGGCAGGAGGTGCGATGGACTGTATGTTGCTTTTAATGTTTTTTATCTTGTAGATCTGGGCTGTGGTGAGGTCTGGACTCTGTGGACGGTATGTCTACGAGTACTACGCAGTACTTGGTGTATTGGAATGATATCATTCTTTCAGGGACCAAGAGGAAAAGTTACGGCAGGGACCTGAAAAGGCGTAATACGATATCAAGTAACGGAAACTTTGGAAACGTTTTCCCCTCTGTTGAACTGGATAAGAAGAGTTTTCTTTTGTTTTTGCTTTTTCTTTTCTTTTCTTTTCTTTCTTTTTTTTTTTTTTTTTTTCTCTCTCTGTTGTGTTGTAATCTCCGAAGCACCTTTTGACTCACCAAAATTTCTTGGGTTTAGGATGGGGCTATGCAAAGAATGTCGCGCCCAAGGCTCACAGGACAGGGTCTGGATAAGCACAAGCACGTCCGTTGGGACCTGCGATGCTCCCGCGATGGAAGCTTGTTTGCTGTATGATATCCGTACAGAGTACAGTACAGTACATCCAGCGCGTAGCGGGACTGTGGCAGAGCAGCTAGGAATTGTGTCTTCACCACGATCGATTCCGAGACGTCATTAAAAAAAAAGAAAAGAAAAGAAAAGAAAAAGAAAAAGAAAAATAAAAGGAAAAAATAAAGGAAAAGAAACGTTGCCGTAGCCAATAGTAACACAAAATCTCACCGTGATGTTGTTGGAATTGTTACCATCCAACTACTAACATGAGATTAATAATTCAGTCAGTCCATTGACGAAAGGATGGATCGCTTCATCGCAGGGTCCCGGACCCTGCACTTAACCTAAAGTTGCTTTACCATGAACTTTCCAGTTGGGTACCTCAACCTACCTGAACCTACGTACTCGTAGGATTTGCTTCCTGTTGGACAGGTGTGCAGGGTTGTTTACCCTCGCTTTGCCCAGCCACGTCATCAGCCACAATTGAGTGGACTCTGTACACCGCCACACTCCAAGCTGTGATCATATCAGCCACCCACCAGTCAATTTTACACGGACAACAGTTCCCAAAGGTCGGTCTGCAAACCCTGAAGGGTTCGGGTCTCAAGTTGAGAAGAAGGGATCAATTTTCCTTTCCCTCCCCCACTCGCTCTCTCCAGGTTAGATTATGGTTTAGAGATATCCACAACAGTCGAGGATGGATTTTACTTCGACCTTCCCGCCTCACTTTTATGTGCCGATACTTTGCATGAACGTGACACAATAGTCCATTTTTCCGAGGCTTCTCATGCATTGGCCAGTCCTGTTGCAAAGAAGCAAAAAACTAAAAAACTAAAAAATAAAATAAAATTGAACATAAAAGAAATCAAAATTTCACAGGAAAAAAAAAAAGGAGTAAACGTCGTCATCCACCCCTCCTCCCCGTTTTGTTATTGTGGTGAACGGTGCACGGATCCATCGGCGAGGATATAGCAGATGATAGTATACTCCGTAGAGAGGCAGGAAGAAGTTGACCGCCTCCGGGAAGGGCCTCGTGCTATCCTCATCACTGATTCCTCTCATCTCGTTTCTCCCTTTCAATTTGCTGACTTCTATAACGGTTGAAACGAGGGGGTGGCGACGACACTCAAGTGACCCGGTGAATTGAACGTGGTGCGTCTTGAATAGACCTCATCAGTTGAATGGGTTTCATCTAGATCAACGGCGGTCTCTTGAAAGCTGAAGCTGCATCACCAACAAGGGTGGGAAAAGTCAAAATGCAAGCGTGACTAAAGTGACAGAGCCGCATTAAGTGCAAAACATCCTTCGTACATCCACATACATCCACAGACGTGTCTGGAGACGAACTCAAAAGCTCGAAGGTACGTACTGGTACATACGTACTCCGGAGTACTGTGTTAGGAACGGGTCCGCATAAGAGACTAAATTACCATGCCCCACCCATCAATGGATTGCGGCAACGGGAGACAACGCGGGTGATGCTAAGTAGTTTGTTGATAGCTCCCCGGGATCCACTCCATTCAATCATTGTTCCCATTAACCTTTTCAACTATCGTCATCCTCAGTTGCATTGTTAGTTGATTTTTTATCTTATTTTTCCCACTTCTTTTATTATTATTTTTTATTCTTGTTTTATTATTTTTACTTTTCCATACTGTCGTTTATTCTCTAATTCTCTTGAATTCAGTACGAGCATATATCCATTATTACAACGCTAGGATAGAGACCAAAATCCATTCAAACTGCATACAAAGCCACAGAAAAGAACCAGGGCAATATGGGGTCAAGATGCACGACGGAAGTTGTTTATTCTCCGGCAATGATCTAGATTTCAAGCAATACAGTACTCCTGAACCAGGTCTCTGCTCAGCCACGTGGGGAAATTCCAGGTTTCGTTCATGCTGTGTGGTATAACATGGCTCAGACCGGTACATACGTACGTAGCCTTAGGTTGACTTGTCCTGACCTCCCGAATTACTAGTAGTTAAGAAAGAGTACTGGTACTCAAATACCGAGTCCTTGACCCTCGAACATCATCGAGACACCTTCCTACCCGGTAGCTTTACCTCAAGTCTGTTACAAACCGATACAGCATTGTGGTGGGCGCCATGAAAGTCGAGTACTAGTAGACGATTCCATTGCAACCCGATTTTGCCCTGTGGGCACCGGACTACCGTGCTTACCTCGATTATAAAATTCCACAGGGGCCTGCCTATTTCTTTCCAACTCTTTACTTTTCCATTTTCTACTACTGAATTTGAGTCATAGTGAAAAGTTCCATTGGATTAAACTCTCCGCTCCAAATTTGCAACTGTGGTCAGATGGGACTTTAGTACCGTTGGCATCCACCAACGGACATTATCTTTGGTTCAACAGCCCGCCTTCTCTCTTCCCTCCCTTTCTTCTGTATTCTTTCTTGATAGTTCCATTTCTTATTTGAGCCCCCTTCCTATTCCCTTTCCGCTCTCTTGTTTTCTTCATTCCTTCCCTTCCCTTCGCTTTCCTTTGTATAGTGCCAAGCAAGATTTAAGCTGCTGGTCTTCCTATATCGTTGTCTTGGCCAACCCTACCTCAAGATGGGTAGCTCATACCCTAATGAATACTATGACCTGCTATCACTTGTTGGTCCCTGTCAAACAGGCTACTATGCCACATCAGAAGATGGCCACCTGATGCCGAACGCCTCGATGGATCCCAACTCTTCAGTACGTTCCCTCTCGGAAATGCTCCGTCTCCATGCCAATGTACTAACATCGACCTCAAGTCAAACTATCAGTCATCGGCCACGTCACCGGTGTCGCCGTCTAGCTGCACCAGTGCAGATCTCCTTCCTGGAGGTACTGCTCTGCCCGAGATTGACACGGATTTCTACCTATATGATTACCCGGCCAATGACATATCGCCGACATTGCCCAGAGATGCTGGACATGTGCCTTCCGCAGACAGACCTCTCAGCACAAGTGTTCCACAGATCCCTCATCTTTATTGTCCACCGAGCGTGTCTTCTCCAGACCCCCTCGATGAAGTCAGAGCAGACCTGCACCGGCTCCAATCGACCGTTCAAAGTAGCGTCAGAAACGTTTCTCATTCTCATAAATTGGTTGAGATGAGGTCTCTTGTGAGAGACACCTTCAATTGCCTTGAAACTATGATCCACGACGAGGTTGACTGCGAGATAAACTCCCCCAACAGTACTAACAGCACCAACAGCAACAACGACAGATATGCCTGTCAGCTGTGTGAACCTTACAAAAGAAAAATGTACTCCTCGAAGGGGGCTTTCCGTCGGCACGTCTCCACTGAACACGCCCCTCGGTCTAGATTTTTTGCCCCGTCTGTGGCTGGCATACCTGCAGGAGGGACAAGGTCTGGGATCATTTTAGACATAGGCACCCACCACCAGCCAGGCTCAGAAAGAACAATATCAAGCATATCAGATTCAGACCGCCGAGAGAATGTCCGCTGTGCAAGAAGTCTGTACAGTCGTGGGAGGCTTACTTTAACTGTGTCTCCGAGCATTGTCGCATACACGGTGGCTCCCCAGGAACAAGTGGAGTTCAAAGCAGAAGAAACAGTGGGGACAGTGGGAGTGGTGGGGATGGATTCAATGGCAATTTCGCTCCTGGGAACCCGTTTAATGGACAGGGACCCCAAACCCATTTTCCGAGTGGAGGTGGGGACAATTCTAATAATGGAAGCAACTGCTTCTCCGGATATGGATCCTCTTTCTATGGAAACGGCTACACAAGGGAGAACAGCTTTGCTCAACAGGTTGAGCAGAGACTACCACACTCCCTTAACTCGGTCCCAGATAGAGATGATGCTTCCCCAGACCCTGTATTGTTTTCTCATAATGCAGAGAAGAAAGGTAGCGAGATAAACCGTCTCGGACCAAACAGTGTCTCAAGTCACCACCAGCTTCTTGAAGCCACTTTGGAAAGGAACCCGCAGGATATTCCACCCAAGGATAATTTGGGTCACCACAGTGGGGGAAAATCACAAAATCCGAGGGGCTCATCTCAAACAACATCTTGCAATGACAAGAGCCCGCACCAGGCGACATCGTTCAAAGAGTTGTCCCTCAAGAAGTCTCAAGCACGCCCTGCATCTGAGCCCCAGGATCTGCCTCCAGAGAAATGCAAGTTATGTGGCCATCTAATGACGACTTGTGTGGAATGCAAGCTGCAGAAGGGTACTGTGGATAGATGTCATTTATGCTCTGGGAAAGCCAGCCAGCAGCACGGATTACCCAGGGTCCTGGAAGACTATGACCAATACTATGATTTTGCGTGTAATGGCATGTCAGACCGGAATCGCTCAGCATCAAAGATTGCTTGGGCACTAGAACAAGTGTCCCAGGCTTTCAAGCCAAAAGGTGATCCATGTTCAACTGAAATCAGTCGCACATCCAGAGATTATTTGTTCAATGAGTCATCTCAGTGGGTCTCAGCTATGACAGCTATCGACAGGGTGTATGCACTTCAGGTTTCTGAGCAGTCCATCTTCAAGGCCACGGGCTCCAGCTATTCTACGAAGGCTCTCTCAAGTGCTTGGAGCCTCATACTACCAGATCTCGTTTTACAGCGATGACCCTAGCTATTCACTCACCGCAGATCTACAGCAAGATTGGGCATTCTGACTCGTCAAAAGGCATTCACATAGAACTCTCTGAAGTGCGATACGACACACAGAATATTATTGGAGATACCAGTGTCGCGCATGAGCCTGATTCACGGAAGGTAGCAGCGGCTGAATTGACTGCTGAGCATGCCATCCCACGCCTTGCGAAGACGCCTGAGAGTCTTTGTATAATTCAATCGAAATCGGTGTCTTTCAACCACTATCGAATTCGGACTTTATCATTCGGGCCGTATGGAAGTGTGGCTTTGCCTCTACATGGTATGTACGCATCTGCATTCCCTACCACTTCAAACATTGCGCTATAAGTACTAACAGAAACCTCCCAGACCTGACAGTTGAACCTGCCGCTCTGGAAATTAGCGGAGGATTTACCCTTTACCATGCATCATGTGTCGTCAAAGACAGACAGTCTTTTCAGGACTCGACTCCTTTGACAAATGGGCCCAGTGCGGCCGAAGACCAGCTGACGCGCAAGAGGCGCTCTAAATTGCGAAGAAAGCTTCAAGTCATCATTGGGATTCTTGTATTACAAGCATCTGTCGCCCATACACTCCCAGTCTCGAAGCAGTTGGAAGATAGGAACCCGAGGAATCCTACTGTAGCGTCTGAAGACACTGACCTCATCGAGGCCAGTAGCGACCTTGACTTATTCGATCTCAATTTCTTGCCCCAGTGGCTCCGGGAAACGATTTCCACATTTTCTGCAGGCCTGATAGAAAATGTTGAGTCTTCGATGTTTACAACACCGGTGTACAAAGCTGAAGAAGAGATTTGGCCGAAGATCAAGACGTTTGTAGGATCCATGGCGAGCTACCTGGAAACTCCCGTTAGCCCGACAGTGCTCGAACAGCACATTGCTGAATATAGGAAGCTCGGGTGAGTCGGTTAAACATGTCTAGAGAGGTATATGCTGACTAGCCGCAGCGTATGGTGACCTGACCAATGATGATTTCTGGTGTTTATCTTGTCGATATTTCCTTCGACATTTTCTTTTATGTGATGTGATGTACGAACTTTCGGGTATATACACAAATTGACGGATATCAACGACACGATGCAGTGATACAACGGGATCAGGGTTGTGGGAGTTCGATGGACTATGAAAAGGGTTATGTTTACGAAAGTCACGATACCATGTTCTAATAGTCTGGTTTTCCTTGGTAGCTTCATATATTTGTGAAACCTTCATACCCTCCAAACATGGATAGAACATAGATAAGCATCTCGGGGATAGGAGTTAAGCAAGAGCGGAGACTGCCGCGGGATGACATAACCGTATCGATAAGGGAATCCCATTCGGAGCCAAACTGCCGGTCAATTGACGCCCGTTGTCTATCCTCGTACTTACTATTGGAAGCTGGCCAAGTGTACCTAATGATATGACCCTTGCGGCCAATCCTGCCAACCCATACCCCAACCCTAACCCCTCCTAGTTTCCCCAATAATGAGTTCCCCCGACCCCCATCCCGCTAGTGGCGACCGTCCGGCGTCGAGAGATTCACCCGCTATATGGCATCCGGCGAGAGAATGGCTTGAAGAGGATGAGGAAGATGATATGGACTATGAACCTGAGACTGAAATTTCAGAGCATTCAGAGGACAGACCCCACCCGGATGAGGACCATTTCATCGACGAGGACGACGAGGACGGCTTCTACGGCGTTCATCTAAATTATCTCGGTATTGTTGTTCCGCCATGTCCAGTTGCTCCCGAGATGCTAATACTTTGCCGATGGTCAACTTGACGTAGACCCTGAATTACATCTAGGTAACATACATATTGAATTCTCCATGGACGAAGGAAATTTGGAACAGTCTGGAGAAGCGGCGGGTCAGGCCGGTGGCAGGCATTCCCGAGGTATTTCGACTATGCTCATCTTTCCATATCCTCATTGATTACGGTTGCTCACTACCGATTGCTAGCAGTTTCCGCCACCCGGTTGTTGAATCTACTAGCATCAAACGGCCTGCGACATATTCTTCAGTATAGTCGGGCTGGCGGCCAAATGGATGACGATGATGAAGATGAAGACGAGGAGCTTGCTGGTTTTTTTGGATTTAGGCGACGAGCACGACGGGGTGGAGGTGATCCGGCACCCCAAGTACCCAGCGAAGAAGGGGCGAAGTTGATGGCTTCTGGCGACTTTGGAAGCAATTCATATTATACGGATGAGTTGAAAAAGAGGAGGAAAAGCCTTGCGACGAGGACGATGTGGCGGGAACTAGGTATTGATCTGTCTGGTCCGAGGCAGGAGGTGCAGGCGATTACTCAAGTGAGTCCTTGGCCGTGTAACATCAAATGCTCGATGTTGACGTTCTGTTCGTATAGGGTCTTATACCTGGTTCAGTTGCCGACAAGATCATTCACTTCGACTCAAGGTGCTACTCGGGACAATTTTCCGATGATGGCAACTTTTTCTTCTCCTGTTCGCAGGACTTCAGGGTTAGGATGTATGATACGTCTAACCCGTACGAATGGAAATATTACAAAACCGTGACCTACCCTTTTGGCCAGTGGACCATCACCGATGCCACCCTGAGTCCAGACAACAGATTTCTAGCGTATACTTCCATACGGAACCTTGTTTGTCTTGCTCCTACAGATCCACTTGATTCCTCGGAGCCGTCGGTGCTAGATCTTTCGTCCTCTCATGGAAGACAATTTGGTGTATGTATCTCCCTGTCCCGTGGTCTTTTGTTGTTCTGACCTGAGAATACTAGATCTGGTCGGTTCGGTTTTCAGGTGACGGCCGTGAAATAGTTGCAGGCACGTCCGATAACTCGGTTATTGTCTACGACCTTGAAACCCGGCAGTCAGTCCTACGCCTACGCAACCACGAAGATGATGTGAATGCTGTTTGTTTTGGTGACAAGTCTTCCCCTCACATTCTCTACTCCGGGTCCGATGATAGCACGCTACGAGTGTGGGACAGACGCTCAATGGGTGACGGGCGTGAAGCGGCGTGTTCATCGGACATACGGAAGGACTGACATACGTCGATAGCAAAGGTGATGGTCGATATGTGCTTTCCAATGGCAAGGACCAGAACATGAAGCTCTGGGATCTAAGGAAGATGATGACTACAGCGCGGTTCGATACTATTGATGCCCAGGATTACACCAGCGGCTTCGATTACAGGTTCGAGCCATACCCCGAAAACTACTACGAGGCGCATCCACACGATTGCTCCGTGGTCACATTCCGAGGCCATCGGGTCCTCAAAACCTTAATACGATGCCATTTCTCGCCGCCAGACAGCACGAACTCCAGATATGTGTATACTGGAAGTGAAGATGGCAAAGTTTATGTGTACAACTTGGATGCAACCCTTGCCGGAACCATCGACGTCGGTCAGGCAACGGTGGACACTCGACCGCAAGACCCCGACGTAACCAATAGTGCATATGACTTCAGCAGCCGCGCTGGCGATTTGGCATGGCAAACATGTGTCCGAGACGCAAGCTGGCATCCCAACGCCCCTGTGCTAGCCGGTAAGTCTGGTCCTGTGAGAGACCGGAAAGTATACATTCTAACGATGGTGTGTAGCAACGTCATGGAATGGCTGGGGCCTTTCGACCGGCACCTGCACCGTCCATTCTTGGAATGGCGGCGCCGCCGAGGACGAGGGGACTCCGCCGGTCTCCAAAAATTACGATTGCCGGCTGAAATCCGTGCTCGAATATGACCAGTTCAAGGAAACAATCCATCACCTTCGAAGCCGACCCGTATATCGGCGGAGGTTAGAAGATGACGAGTACGCGGGTGAAATATGGTGATCTACGAAACGGCATTTCTTTTGATTAGCATGGTCTACTTTCGGAGCCGAAAATGCGAGCGAGCGCAGCCTTTTTGTATACCAAGCTTAAATTAGGATTTATGAGATTGAAATTAGACTCCCATTCAACAGCCATTTCAAAGAATTAGATAAATCTCTCAAGTTATCCTCTCTGGATGCTGAACAGAATCAGGAAACGCTATTTATACAGAATCAAAGACCTCGCTACAATGTTTCATGCAGCAAGATCCACCTCCATGACGCACTGACGGCATGTCATCAAGTCAAAGATGAGTTAAACACCTCCATTTCCCATCAATATATTTCGTTTTAACGCAGTAAGAGTAACGGGTATCGGATACAAGCATGGACGGATTCTTCCCCCTTTTCTTTATGCAGAATCCCATCCCCACATCAAGTTAAGGTAGTAGGTTATCGAGTGTTGATTAATGTCGCTCATAGCTTATGCGCCACCGACAAGGATGTTGTTGACGGGAATGTGTACTAAGCACTGTTAGTTATCGATCGGTTGTTGCCTGCTTTCATGCCCCTGCGAGTCTGGGTGCTCCTTCTGAGGATTGAATGCACATGCGACCGACTTACTTAATTTAATGAAGTAACCAATGGCACCCTGGATTTTAGTCAGAACCGTTATTCACAAACAAGGCGTTTATGCGTAGATGGAAGATCGAGTGCCTCGTACCATGATAAGGAAGCCCATGCCGACGGCCTGGCTGATCTTGATGAATTCGCGCTTGTCGGCTGTATACCATTGAGTCAGTTTAGAGCTAGAGAAATCAGAGCGACTGTGGTGTGGCGTACGCTTGGTGCATCTGCGGACGAAGAGGGTACCCTCACGGAGGAAGTCCTTGGGGATGTCGGCGAGCTCTTGGAGGGTTTCAGACATTGTGGCGAAGAATTGGTAAGAACGGAAAGAAAGGAGTGAGAATGGAAGTAAGAGAAAAAGTAGTATGAGTGAGTCAGGAAAGTTGAGAGAAAAGAGAGAATTGGAGAATCGAAAAGAGGCGATCTGGACAAGAGATAATCGACAGATCATCCACACGCGCGCAACAGGAGAGTTGGCCTTCTGGGGTTCGGAAGTACAGTTGAGCCGCGCTCCGGGTCCAGCTCCACAACCGCAGCTCCTTCGAGATCCAAAGGCAAGCTCTCGCCTTCCCTTCTCTTCTTGCGCGCTCCACTCGGCACGTCCTTCAGACACGTCTTATTGTACCAAGGGATTGTTCGCCTACCAACGCTTTTTCTCCTACCTCACGCTTTCTTCCCATCTCTCTTTCACCTCTTTCACCAACTTCTCTTTCTTCTCAACCCGTGCGCTGACGGCTTACGACTCAGGGGATACAAACTGCTGGGCGGAAGTCCTTCTGTACTTCCCGTTCGCATCAGTGTTCTGCGAACTGACTTACTGACCTAAAACTGACAGCGCTCTTCTGCTGATTTTCCTTTGCTCTCCTGTGTACTCCCGCTGGGAGAGTTATATCAGTTCTGTTCCTTAGCAAAGAGTGCGTGTGTTGCCTGAACTGTGGCAGCAGAACTTCCCACTCGGCGCCGCATCTCCTGTGGAAATTACTCCCATCTTCGTCTCTTTCTCTCTACTTTTTCACTGAAGAAAATCTTGCCATAACTTATCTTACCTGTATTTGGAATCCTGAGACAAAAGTTCCGCTCTGTATCTCCGTTTCAGAGCAATCAGATTTACGGACTGGTGAAGACTTTGTTCATTGTTGAAGCTGTTGTTGCTTCGGATTGTACGTATTTTCGAGCCTTCTTTTATCCTTTTGTCTGTCTATACTGCACTCGCCCCTGTTGCTTCAAGAAGTTGCAAAGTGGATTTTGGCATTTGCTACAAACATGACCCAGTGTTACTCCCTTGCTGCTTGGGAGACTCGTGCAGCGACCTTTCACTCTCAAGCGATGGCAACTTCCGTGCTAATTGACGGTCTATGTCTGCAGACATGTACTTCCATTGATTCAACGAATCAGAGAAAAGAAACAAAGGACTGTATATTTCACTATCCAAGCAATCAAAAATTTGCCTTGACCTTCCGATCCATATCTTAACGCCATGGCTACTGAAGATGATAACTTCGATATTGACATCTATGGTGATGGTGGTGGATATAACGCTAATGACCAAGCCGGAGAGGATGATATCAAGCATGATGACACCGAACTCATCCTAGACGCTCCAGAGCAGCCCCAAAATGCCGCTCCTGCCCATGGCGATGGCGCTGCAGACACCAACGCGCAGCAGGGGCATGCCGAAGGTACAGAGCCCAATGGGGAACATGTAACACAATCAAATCCGCAACAGTCAGCGGCAACAGAGACGCCAGCTCCCCCGCAGGGCGTAAAGCGCAAAGAGCATGACGACCGTCCATCGGATCCAGATGCCACACCTGCCCTGCTTATCTCTGACCTGTACTGGTGGACCACTGATGATGATATTCGTGGTTGGATCCGTGAGGCCGACTGCGAGGATGAACTTAAGGATGTAACTTTCAGCGAACACAAGGTGAACGGCAAGAGTAAAGGGTAAGCAATTGTGGCTGAATTCTTAGGGTGTAGCGTGCTAATTGGTTTGCACAACCAGCCAAGCTTTTGTTGAATTCACTACACTTCAGGCCGCGACTGCCACCAAACACAAGCTCGAATCCTTCAGTATGACAGGATCGTCAGGACGGAAGTACTCTGTTAACTATACCAACCCCCAACCAAACCCTTTCCGCACACTTCCGAAGGATGCGCCTATGCGAAAGGACAATCAGGCTCGGTCGATGTCTGGAGGCTTCAACTCGCCAGCGCAGAATATGAACTTCGGAATGAATAACATGGGTGGTGGTGGTGGCGGCGGTGGGTTCCGTGGCGGCCGCGGTGGCTTCAACTCCCGGGGTGGCATGAATAATAACATGGGAGGTTTCAACAACCGGAACTTCCAGAATCCAATGGGCTTCCAAAACCCGATGGCTGGAGGTTTCGGTGGGAATCCGATGGGAGGTATGCAAAACTATGGCGGCTTCAATAACCGTGGAGGCATGATGGGTGGCATGCGAGGTGGACCCGGGGGCATGCGCGGCGGCCGTGGAGGCGGCGGTATGGGGGGTCCCAACATGATGGGTATGCCGAATATGAACCCGATGGGTGGTATGGGCATGAACCCAATGTCTGGTGGAATGAACCCGATGATGGGCGGCATGGGAGGAAACATGGCGATGCAAGGTATGTCTCGTTGCGAGTGATATAATTCTCCCCCGGCTGGCCATGTAGACATGTTCTGACCACGGCTGTTTTGCTAGGTAAAGGCGGCTTCCAAGGTCCTAATCCCGCTTTCAATCAAAACTTCTTCCCTCCTAACCAAGGGGTTGGAGGTGATGGATCATGGAACCCCCATGGCGCAAAGCGCAGCCGACAAGAGTAGAAGATCCTCTTGACACGCTTGCATACTTTATGGTTTGTCCCTGGCGATATCTGGACATTGAGAAATCGTTATTTTTCTGTACCACATGTTTTACCATCTAAGTTCCCCATCATTCATCCCTTGGGTTCGTTTTCATACTGCTTGTTCTTCTAACGGTTTAACGGGAAATTGGTCTGTTACTTTCACGCGGGTTTTCAGCTCTTCTTATGGTGTATTAGACAAATCGAATGTTCTTTTCTTGCGCATTTTGAGCTGGTTTAACATGATATGCTTCATTTACTACCTGTTGCTATTCAGGTTGACAACTGTATGACTATTAACGTTTTGCTGCCTTGAATATCTTCTACTATTGAGATTTAATTGACATTTTTACAACAATGAGACTAATGTTCCAGATCTGTGTCGTATGGACCTACCATACATCATGACCATATCTCAGTATGATTCACCTAACCCTACATCCCCTTCCGTCCACCAAAAAACATGTATGCATACTGAACATAAACACTTCATAACTACTTTACGATGAAATAAAGATGTTTCCATCGACGACTTACTGCAATACTAAGCATGATGTATAGTCACGTGCAGCCTTGCTCGTGCAGACCTGTTCAAGCTTTACACCCCCATCGCCGTCATACAAGATGTTGCATCGGTGAATCCACTCAAGCGAAGATACCTTACCACGAGAAACCCAACAATCAAAGATCCACCTCCGGCTTCAGCAGGGCAGCCATATGGCGCCCCATGGACTCGCGCAGCGCATCCAGATAGACTTGGGTTGCAGAATCGCTGGAGCAAGTAAGGAAAATCCGATGGCCTGTTTCCTGGGGCATAGAAACCACTGTGACCGGCATATGGCGGGGCGGCGCATTGAAGTATGACGGCGTGCACTGGAGATCCCCCATAGCAAAAGACTTCGGGTACTCGATATTCTGGTGCAGGACGATAGACCCCATCGTGGTATCGGCTGGCCACGAGGTGCAGTGCTGAATGATGTCGCGCAGGTATACTCCCTGGAAAGGCAGGCTGTCAATATGCTGGGTGTGAATCTGTTGCAGCAGACTGTCTCTCGAGCTATCAATGGAGACGCGCACCGGCAGGATCCTGTTACAGGGACCCACTACGTTCTGGATGTCCGTGATGGGCATAGATCGGCCGCTGACTACCTGCGTGAAGACGATTTCATGTAAGCCTGTCTGCTCGGCTAGTACAAGTGCCCATGCTGCTTTGACGACTGTCGCTGCTGTAATGCCTGCTGGGGGCTTGATTGTCGGCAACGGTAAGGGCGCCAAGAGGATTTGTGGATTGGGATCTGGATTAGTCGGTGGTGGGAGCTGGGTCATTTCGGCGTTCTGAAGTACGTGTCGCCAGAATGAGAACTCGGCTGTCCGGTCCTGGCTCAGGGCATGGTACATGAAAGCGGGGAATGAGACGGCTGGTGGCGGGCTGCGGCCTCGTATAGTTGTTGTAACCCACGGTATACTATGGGGATGGTTTCAGGGTCGAAGAGTGACCGGCTGTAACGCAGCACCAAAACGTTGTCATCTTGGGTGGTTCCTTGAACCAACACGAAGCGCACTGGGAGCTTCGAAGGGCTGACGGGGAGCAGTGAATCTGCTTGGCACCATTGCAGGGCGCTGGCATTAACATCCTCCTTCGTATCCGTTTTGGGTGATTGGACGTGCAATGCCACGGCCGGATGCCGTAGTACCACCTGGTGCATTATGTCCTCTGACCGGACAAAGACTGTACGTAGGATAGGGTGGTAATGCACTAGGCGTTCGCAGGCTTGCTGGAGCTGGACATGATTTATAGACCCTTGTAGCTGGAGCAGTAGATACTCACAGGGGAAGTCGGACAAGTACTCCTGCCGTGGCGTTGCCGGAAGAACATCCTCGATGTCTTCAATTATGGCAGTCTGGGGAGACAGCCGTGAGACTAGATGCGCAAGGAATGTCTTGGGGTCGTCAACTCGAAGTTGCGAGAAGGCCTGTCCGGTGGGACCGTCGGTCAGAGATTGCTGAAGCGCTGCGGAAGAGTTGGATAGCTCCTGGAGTGATTGAGTCCGAAGGACGCTCAAAACCGACAGAGTTAGACCAGCCTTTCGTGCCAATCCCACTAGTTCCATGGCGGATAGCGAATCGCCACCTAGTGATAGGAAACTGTCCTCTGTCCGGATGTCCTCGATGTCGCACGTTAGTACGTCTGCCACCAGCGACACTATGATCTGCAACTCTTTACTTTCTGTAAGGGAGGATGCAGCCTGTCTGTCACACCGACACGGAGGTGCGGGTCGATATCTTTGTAGCTCGCGCCATGGGCGATTAATCACCAATTGCCGCAGCTGAGCGCGGTCTGTTTTCGCCGTGATCGTCCGAGGAAGGTATCTGATGGGAACAAACAAGGATGGGATCATGTACACGGGCAGAGATTCTTGCAATCTTGTTGATGCTGTCATTACTTGCGCTTCGAACTCGCTACTATGCTCGCAGAGCAGAGTGGACTCTGCTTCCAACAGTGTATCGTTCTGCTGTATGAGAATGAACGCCACGAGGATGGGTGACTTTCGACCTGCAGACGGGTTTACAGATTCGACCACGACGTGGAGAGCACTGGGAAACGCCTCTTGGACGCGGTGTTCCACTTCCCCTAGTTCTACTCGCTGTCCTCGGATCTTGATCTGTGTGTCCTGCCGCCCAACAAACTGGATCCATCCAAGGCTCGTATATCGGACCAAGTCGCCCGTGCGATAAAGACGTCCTGGAATCTGGGCAGAACTAGGGGACGAACGGAAGTGATGGAGCCAAGAGGGAGCATCAATGAAGGCATCTATAGAGAGAGAGGAAGGTCGGTTAAGATAACCTCCTGTTATTCCAGGGCCTTCAACTAGCAACTCCCCAATAGCACCTATTGGGACTAACTTTTCGGTGTCTGTCGGGTCTGTGATCCATCCTATTCCTCCCAGCATAGGCCCAATGGTGCCTGCGCGCCACCTGTGCTGAGGAATTGGTCCGGCACTGCAAACGGAGGACTCTGTGGGTCCATACACGTTGACCAACTGCACGTGTGGTGTCCATGCCTGTACAAGGCTTGGTGGAATTGCTTCACCAGCAAGAGCCACTGTGCGCAAGTCTGGGAGGTCACCTGGGCGAAGAAGAGAGAAAGAGGATGGAGTGAATGCGGCCCAACTGATCTTCTGCTCCCGCATGAAACCTGTCACGTCATCGAGTCGTTCGGATTCAGAAGGAATGCAGAGACAGGCACCGCGGTGGAGCGTACAGATCATCTCGTACATAGCCAGATCAAAGCTGTATGAGGCAAAATGTAGTGCACGGGTAGTGGAATCGATATTCAACATGTCAAGGATGGCCAATGCGGCCGTCCCAATATTTTCGTGATGGACTTGCATGCCCTTTGGACGACCGGTTGTCCCAGAAGTAAACAGCACCATGGCTAGGTCTTCTGGATGCACCTCAGGAAGAGGAATGCAATTGGCGGCATCCGTGGAAGCCATGCTGTCGGACACCACCAGTAAACGCGGGCCCAGCTGCTCCATCTTGTGACGTTGAGCGGCCGAGGCTACCACGAATTGAGCTCCCATGCCCTCGATCATCTCGCGAGCGCGGCCGATCGGGGTGTTGGGATCGATAGGTACCCAGATGCCCCCAACACGAAGGATGGCCAGAATGGTCAACACGGACCACTTGGACTTCTCCAAGCAGAAGGGGATGAACATTCCTGGACAAACCCCACAGTGTAGGAGATGCTGAGCCACGCCGAGGGATGCTCGGTTCAACTGGTGGTAAGTCATGCTGCCATCCCAGGCGGCGATGGCGGGCTGGGAGCCCCCATGATAAAGTGCCAGCTCGTGCAAGGTGACTTTGCTTGCCCTAGGTAATTTTGCGTTCCAGTTCCTCAACGTCAGCCAATCCTCAGGGCTAACAAGATCAAGTTCCCGTAATCTGGTCTGCAGCGCTTCCGGTAGCTGATATAATATATGCTTGAGCTGGTGCAGCATGCGCAACACCTCGACTGTTTCCATGATCCTGGTGTCATAGTGCACAATGAATTGTAGATCTGGCATGTCCTTCGCCGATAATCCACCATGAATGCAGCATGTCACAACCAGGGAACATACCCCTGATGGTGGAGGATAGCACGGCTCGTTTTCATCGTTCCATTTCTCCTCAATATTCAAGTGGAAATGGAAGTCACTACGGGCATTTTCAGAAGAGCGGAAGGTGGAAGTCTGTATCGAAGCTAAAGCCTGTTCGACTTTCTCATCCTCACTGATGTGAAAGCGAAAGGAAACGTTCTGTGAACCGCCATTGGATCTCCTCAGAGTGAGTCCAAACTCAACATCTGTGGCATCCGTGAGTTTACCGATGAGAATTGTCCATGCGAGTTGGATATAAGCTGTCAAAGGCGTCACTCCTCTGGACGACCTCAGGCGGAACACTGGATAGCGTAGGATCTTGGTATATGCAAGCTTATGATCGGCGGGGGGCCGTGGAAAGAAGCACGATGCCGTATATTCAGCCATGAGGTCGTGAGGTTTTTCAAAGCAACCGGGGATAACCGTGGTCTAATACAATGGATGAACCTAGCAATCTACAACATCGAATCGGAGTCGAGGCGGCTGGCTTGCCTTTTCTTTCGTCTACCCGCTTACAGTAATCATGAGGCCTATTACTGGGAAAGGTCCTGAATATACCCAGTTGTGATAGCACACAGCATCAAAGCAACTGCGAGTTCTTGCCAGAGATTGAGAGTAGGTAGTTCTATCGTCACTCGGAGTCTAAAAGAAGCAACTGTCTCTGCTCGAGAAGCTGAAAGCTAGAGATGATGATGATGTTAGCCCGGCCCAATTGTCAAACAGCAATGCATATAAGGAGAGTATGATAATGTCCGGAAATGTATGTCTGTACTACCGTATATACCATACCGTATCGTACAGAGCCACTGCGATTATGCCAGGCGCAGAATGGGGATATCCCAGTAGAGCAGAATCTCAACGCTAGACGGCCCGAGGAAGATGGTTCGGACGATCACCCAGCACCAAAGACCAGCCATTCCTCCATGGAGACTCTTTCGTTCGTACGAAATGCAATCACAGCTGGAGCTGACAATGCAGCCACGAAGTTTAGAAGTAGCCGAGCTCGGGGAGAAAAGGCAACTGTCTCACTCTTGCATACCAGCATCGCCGGTATCACAAACTAGTGGACCATGGGATACAACTTGCGAAACAGGTTTTCAATTCTTTCAGCTGCGCATTAAATCAATTTGTTGTCGCGCTGCGGGTCGAGCAGCTCATGCCCCCATTAGCCAGGATTGAAATGCCGCATATCAGAGCTGAAGGACAATATGCGGTACGGTCGGACTTTCTGTTCACTGACAAGCGTCGTTTGACTTAGCTTGCAGTAGTCAATTGACGCTGCTGGGTGTAGAAGTGATACATCGGCACAATTTCCAGCCCGTGCTACTTAGCTGCGTGATGCATTACGCCACAGCTCAGAGCAACATATCCTCCAAGTATCTTGGCCATCATCGAGCATTCCGCTTCTGGAATGGGCAAACTTGGACTTGCACGGTGGGAAACTATTCGCATCAGGAGTAGTGAGTGGTAGGGGGAAGATGGGAGAAAGAACGTATACGCAACGTAAAGATAAGAGCCTCGATTCTACTCGTGCATTCTTCAGAAATCTCCAAAACGTCCCAATTGGTCCAATTTAAAAAGGATCCTTGTGATGTCTCTTGAGGGCGGGTGTGTGTAGCAACCTTGCCCTCAAGGGGATTGGAACACGTAATAGGTCTCTTCTCCTGCTTTCACGGTCTCCACCACGTCTAACCCCACGCTCGAAGCAAGGGTGCGGAGCTCATCATCTCCCAAGATGCGAAATGCCGTGGTAGCGGATTCCGTGCTGAGGATAACCCCTTCGCCCGACATTACTTGCACATTGCTCACCACATAAACCACACCGTCCTTGACTTGAACATCATTGCCAATCTGACGATAGGTAATTCCTGGTAACACAAGACTGCAAAGGTCCGTGCTATTGGTATCACCTTCAGCCGGGGACATATCCGATTGAAAGGTTGCGGGAATATCGCGCAACGAAATGTATGCTCTACCAGTCCCTGGTTGGAGCACACGGGCAACCTCCCTGAGAAACTGGGCGACCTGGCCCGGTTCGATAAAGTGGCTAATCGAGCTGAAGGCGACTATCAGCAAATCAGCCTTCAATACGCCATCTCGGAAAGCAGGGACCTCATGGAGATTCAGGGCGGAGCTTCAATCCAAGTTACATCGGCGGTGGGGGATGCCAGTGGAAGCTTGGCTGCCTGATCCAGCATGGGTCTCGATATGTCTAACCCGATGAATTTGGTGGCGTGAAGGTCTGCGTCGTGCTCCGATAGGTGGGCCACTAGGTCTCGGATAACTCGTCCAGTTCCCGTACAAACATCCAGAACCACGAAAGGTCTTTCCTTCGTGGTTTGCAACTGTAATGTTTTTCGATAGCCGTCAAGGTAGACTGGGGCATCCTGCAAAAAGCCAGGGATTTGAGTCATTGAATGGTAAAAGTCCGCTGCGTGGACCGTATCGTAGCCGTTGGTTTGGCACGTTTCACTCATTTTCGCCGAATTCTTGTCACTGTGGAGAAAGAACAAAGAAAAAGAAAGACAGAAACAGGTTTGCTGAGGATAAGGAGGTCAGAACACTGTTTAAGACAAGAGTGAACAACGAAGTCAGAGATTGATGAGTTGGGACAGGGAGGGGGACATTTTTATCCACGACTGTATACCATATGCCCCTTCTGGTTCTGCGTACAGTAAATTACAGGTATTTATCTACATTATGCGCAAACAACGATATATGCATGGGTAACGCAGACCAGTATGGTCCATTTCATCTGTGATAGTGATTCATATGATATTCATGAGATTGTTGTCTTTCTGCCTTGCACCCCTCTCACCTAAGGGAAATAACATATCAAGTATTCCTACATCACCCGCTTGTACCATGTGAAGGATGTCCCACTGATGATTGAATCTATCCTAGGTCTCTAAACTACTCTTTGCGAATATGACGATGATATTCCAATGGGTTGGTCTTCTCTCCAGTACACTTGTGGCACTGTTTCTATACAGGGTGGCCCGCGTGCGATCAAAATTTTACAATCGAGTAAGTCATGTAACACATACATTTACTTGAGTCAAGCCGGACAAATACTGAATCTAGCCCCTAAGCCCAAACCCCCGCATAGTGCGGTATTCGGCCATTGGTTACTGCTCCTTCGACAATGGATGGACTACCCCTGGGATTCCTTCTTTGCAAACATTCTAGATGGAATACAGCGAAAGTTCGACCTACCGCCCATCTTCTTTCTTGACCTCTGGCCGCTATTTCCCCCGGTTGTCTGTGTAAGCGACCCAGATGTCGCTCGCAAGATCACTGTGGAAGACAGAGCTCCCCGGTGGCCTAGCGTTTTCGAACCATTGGCACCAGCCGCATCGCAGAGATGGATCCAGACACTATCGCAGAACAACTGGACAAAGAACCACTCCATATTCGGGTCATCATTTACAACATCTCGTTTTGTACGAATGATCCCTGCCATGGCGGAGGATTTGCAAGCCCTAGACCAGATGCTCGCAAAATGTGCCAAAACAGGCCAGATATTCAAGATGGAAACTGTAACCAAGTTTTCCATTCTGGAAATGACGGGACGGGTTCTTTTCGGGAGGCAGCTTGACACTTTCTCAGAGAATAGTGAATGGAGTGCCTTGTACGAGGGAGCCGTAAGTTCTATTTCTGCGGCAAGGAATCCCTTCAAGCGTCCATTTATAATGCAGACATGGAGAACCCGATGTGAGGCTTTCCATACATTGATCCGAGACGAGGTTTACGCATGCTTTAGGGAGCGGGATAGCCATTCACGCTCCAAGCCCTCGCTTCTACACTCGTCATTTGCGGCATATCAGAACAACAAGCTCCCACAGTTTCCTGTCAACATCGGGGGCAATGAGCAAATGACAGAGGAATATGTGGAGGATTTGGTCTCTAGGTCAGCTGCAGAAAAGCTCCTCGGAATCTCACTAACATGGCCAGTTGAAGTTGTGCTGGTATTTTCCTCGCCGCTGTGAGCGGCAGCACCGCTTTATCAGTCAGTATATAACACTTTCGCCCGCCTACCGACAGTTATATAAATGCATATATTGACTGAGTTCAAGTATTGCCTCATGCTTCTATACCAACACCCAGATATTGCACAGCGCGTGAGAGCAGAGCATGATGATATTTTTAGCCCGGACAGAGATATCACCCTCCAGCTGCTCAAGACCAACCCCGAGCGATTAAACCAGCTTGTACTCACGCTTGCTGTTATCAAGGAAACACTGCGGCTCTTCTCCATGGGGGCGATATTAAGACAACCAAACAGGTAGATTCTCCGTTCTCTGTGTTGTGATCATGAAGGGGACTAACATGATAGCGAGCATATTATTTCCCCTGAAGGACAGATGTACCCAATCCGAGACCATGTAGTAGGTTTTCCTAACGTAGTCAATATCCCTTGGTCGAACCTAACCTATGACCTCAAACCAGGTTGTTCTGCTCCATACTGCTATGCACCGACGATCTGATCTTTTCCCTGAGCCGGACAAATTTGATCCGGACCGCTTTCTGCCTGACGCAAGGCGAAAGATCCCTCCTGATGCCTGGAGGCCGTTTGAAAAAGGGAGGGGAAATTGTACTGGGCAGGAGCTGGCGCTCATACAACTCAAATTGGTTCTGCTGCTTACAGTGCGGCAGTTTGACTTTGAGCTGGCATACGATCCCCAGTCTACCAGAGGGCCGGATATCTATGGTGGTCTTGCATATGTGACGATGAGCGGGACAGGCCCAACTCCTGCCGGTGGAATGCCAATGCGTGCTGTTCGACGAGTGGACTGAATTCGTGGATATAATTTTAGTTATAGAATTTATTAGTGGCCTCCACAAGAAGTTACAAATTGACGTCAATTACCCGTACGAATACCAGTCTGGATCGTGCGTATATATGTACGTATATCTATCCAGTATTACAATAGCTGGGTGACCCAGCTAATCGAATTATGACTTCTGTCAGATACATGCTAACTCCTGTTTACAGCGAATGACTTGTAGGTACAGCAGACCCTGCCCTTTGTGCATAGACATTCCGGCCACCGAAAGTTGGAACTCAAATCCGCGGCTTGTCAATAGTGGGTGATAGATTACGTGCCTATCTGAACCCTGTCAAATGAGATATCAACATCCTATAAGGCAGCAATTTCACAGACTCGGTATCAGCTCCGCGATCAAGCAGTGCCTTGACCACTTCTTTATGTCCTCTCCCGACTGCTAATAACAGCGCTGTCGCACCACT